AAAACTGGAATAGATAGTCTACATCTCAATCTGATCAAAGGCATCTATGACAAAACAACATTTAACATCATTCTAAATGGACAAAAAACTACCAGGTGTGGTGGAACATGACTGTAACACCAGCACTCAGGAGGCTGAGGCAGGAGGACCACCACAAGTTCAAGGCCAGCCTGGGGTACATAGTGAGACCCTGCCTCAAATACTAACTAACTAACTAACTAAGTAAATAAATGGACAAAACCTGAAAGCTTTCACTCTAAAATCAGGATCAAAATACATCATGTATGGGTATAAACTCCCTACATGCATATGACCATTATGTATATCTAAAATGTACCAATAAAAAATAAACAAATCAGGAACAAGACAAGAACATTCACTGTCACCACTCCTATGCAACATAACTCTGAAAACATTAGCCAGAGCAATTAGACAAGAGAAAGAAATAAAAGAAATAAGAATAGGAAAGGAAAAAGTTAAATTATCATTATTTGTAGATGACATAGTACTCTACATAGAAGACCCCAAAACCTCCACTAGAAGACTTCTACTTTTTTATTTTTTGTTTTTTGTTTTTCCCGGTACCGGGAATCGAACTCACAACCTCGCGCTCGCTAGGCACGCACTATGTCGCTGAGCTAAATTCCCAGCCCCAAGACTTCTAGATTTAGTAACCAAATTCTGTACCATAGGTAGATACAAAGTCAACAGTCAAAAATCAGTAGCACAACTGCTGGGCATGGTGGCGCATGCCTGTAATCCCAGTACTTGGGAGGCTGAGGCAGAAGGATCCTCGTGAGTTTGAGACCAGCCTGAGCAACAAAGTGAGTTCAAGGCCAGCCTGAACTGCATAGTGAGACTCTGCCTCAAAAAGACCAAAAAAAGCTCCCTAGAGTTAACAACCAAATTAAGTGATATATCAAGATACAAAAAAAAAAAAAAAAAATCAGTAGCATTCCTGGGCCAGAGATACAGCTCAGTGGCACTGTGCCTGTGTGGCAAGTGTAAGATTCTGAGTTTGATTCCTGGTACCACCCCTAAAAAAAAAAAAAATCAATAGCATTCCTGTACACAAATAAGAAACTCACTAAGAGAGAAATCAGGGAAACACCTTTCACAAAAGCATCCAAAAAAAATAAATACCTAGGAATCAATCTATTGAATGAAATAAAAGACCTTTACAATGAAAACAATAGTACTATGAAAAAGGAGATTTAGAGGATATCAGAAAATGGAAAGCTATCCCTTGTTCTTGGGTAGGAAGAACCAATATAATGAAAATGCCCATACTTCCAAAACTGTCATAGAGCAATCCGGATCAAAATTTCAACAGCATATCTCACAGAATTAGAGAGAACAATCTTGAAATTCACTTGGAAGAAGAGATCTAGAATAGCAAAAGTAATTCTGGGCAACAAAGGCAAGACAAGGGGCATCACAATCCCTGACTTGAAATTATACTACAAAGCTACTGTGATATAGCATGGTAGTGGCAAAAAACCAGGCCTGACAGATTAAGATGCAGAAACAACTCCAAACATACTCAGCTACATTATCTTTCTATTAGGTTTTTGTTTTTGGTACTGGGAATTGAATGCAGGACCTTGTGCTTGCCAGGCAGGCACTTGTGCCCCTGAGCTATACCTATCCCTGGCCCTACATTATCTTTGATAAAGGAGCTAAACACCTTTACTGGAAGAAAGATAGCCTCTTTAATAAATGGTGCTGGAAAAACTGGCTTTCCACATGCTGAAGATTAAAACTAGACCCATAACTTTCATCATGAACTAAACTAAAATTGAAATGGAACAAAGTTCTGAGTGTCCAAACAGAAACACTAAGTCTGCTGGAAGACAGAACAGGTAGGACCACCACCATGCCCGGTGCATATACATGTGTACAGAGGCACAGTCTGTAATAGCTAAATCTGAAAACAGCACAGATCCACATCAACTAGTGAATGGATAAAGAAGACGTGGTTTTTTTATACAATGGAGTACTACTCTCCCATAAGGAAGGATAAGCTTGAGCCATTTCTAGCTGAACGGATGACCTCAAGACTATTCTTTTTTTTTGGCTGGGGGTACTGGGAATCAAACTGAGGACCTTATGCTTGCCAGGCAGGTACCCGTTTCACTGAGCTATATCCCTGGCATGAAAGCATACTCTTAAGTGAAATAAATTGGACACACATATTTAAATACATTATTTTTCTGGTATGATTACCTGAGAACATAAGTAAGGACTGAAACGTACAACAGATATTGGGAAAAGGGAATAAAATGCTCAAATGTGAAGGGGAACAAGGGGGGAGGGGGGTAAGGAAAGAAGGGACAAAAAAAAAAGAATAGGAAGAAAAAAATAGAAGCCCAGTGTGGTGCTTATAATTCCAGCACTTATAATTCTAGCACTTTGGAGGCTGAGGGTAGAGCACCACTGTGAGTTTGAGGCCAGTGTGGGCTATGCAGTGAGTTCAAGGCCAGCCTGAACTACATGAGACTCTGTCTCAAAAATAAAAAAAAGAAGAAGAAAAATGGAAACAAAGCTTTGGTAAATAAGGAGGGGAATGGAGAAAAAGCCAGCATGATATATCATGTACAAACTCCCTATGATGAATGTTATCATTATGTATGTATATCGAAAATGTCCCAATAAAATAAACACACACACACACACACACACACACACACATATAATATGAAAGGAGCTGCTGCTATAGACAGGAACAGGGTTGAGAGACATGAGGCAGGTTTTTTTTTTATTCTTCGTAGTATTTAAGGCCTGTAGTATTGCTTGATATTTTTTTGAACTGTGGAACTACATTACTGTTAAAAAATTTTCAGGCCAGGCATGGTGGCGTACACCTGTAATCCAGCACTTGGGAGGCTGAGACAGGAAGATCACCATGAGTGTGAGGTCAATGTGGGTCACACTGTGAGTTCAGTGTGAATTCAAGGCCAGCCTGAACTGCATAGTGAGACAAGGTCTCAAAAACAAACAAACAAATAAATAAATAAAATTTGAAATTATACCAGCCACAATAGACAGGGCTACTGGGCTCTGGCTGCATGAGTCTTGAACCAAGTTATGCCTCAGTTACCCAGAACAATTCTGGAGGACAGTGAGCTTTTATCCAGGAGCCAGGCAGGAGCTACTTCACTGGAGACCTTGCTTTTGAAGGCCCTTTCCTCACCCAAGCCCTCATCCATGCAACTTACTGTCTTCATTTGTTTCCCCACTGGGTGACTAAGAGACTATGAAAGCTAGATGCTGCCTTTCTCATCTCTGCTTCTCCCCGTGAACTTCCAATCCTGATCCCACAGGCCAGAACCAAGCAGGTGCTCAGGGTCCCGCAATTCTCTCACACATGAGAGGAGGAGGCAGAGGGGGCAAAGAATCTCCTTGAAAATCCCCAGAAAAAGTGCTGTGGCAAGTGGGAGGCAGCTGGGTGAGGCTCGGCAAGCAGGAGGCAAGGCCCACTCTGACCAGCGGTGCAACAATTGCTTTATCCTTGTGCAACAGTCTGTCTCACTGTTTCTGCCATCCCTGAGGCCACGCAGCCACACCAGGAGCTTCTGGCTTCCCACTACAGCTGGCCCAGTGCAGTCCTCTTATTACCATGGGCAACCCAGAGGGTCCAAAGGGGCTGTTGCAATAAACTCCCCCAGAAGCCACAGCTCCTTTTGGAGGAGCACTGCCATGTGCCAGCCATGCCACCAAGTGCTTTATGTTGCTTGTTCAACTCTCACAGAAGCTCCATGAGTCAGGCACTGGTCTGCTTCTCCTGTCCATTTTACAAGTGAGACAAATGAGGTCACAGAGGCTAAGTACTTTTTGGAAGTACTCTGAACCGTTAGCTGAAATCCCCAACAACTGATATTTGCTTCCAGTGGTTCCTGTGCTGGCTGAGACCTCTGAGAAAGTGAAGGCTCAGAGGGAAAGTGTCTCCCCCAGGGCAGCAGCAGAGCTGGTGGCAGAGCCTGCACTGGAACTATCTCTTGACTTCTGGCCCAGTGCTTGCCCAGCCATGGAGCATGGACATCCTGCCTCCACTAGTCTGTCTGTGAATGACTAGGCAGCAAGCGACACCACGAGAAATGGCCTCTGTCCCTCTGCCGACCCAGCCAGCTCCAGGGTGAAGGGTAAAAAACCGGCCCTCTTACCTTTCCAGCACCACTCTCTCCACTGACCACAATGGACTGGTTGACGGGGTGTATCAGGCTCTTGACATTCCTGTAGGTCTGTTCAGCTACAGTGAAGATGTGGGGCTTCAGTTTCTGCAACATCAAGGGATAAAATGAAGTGCAAGAGAAAGTTCGTCTACAGGAGAGGTCGATACAATGGTGGCTGAGATGGGGAGACTTCCCCCAGGAAAATCTCCTGGAAGGAACAGTGTTGGGGCCCACGGAGGGACTCCTACAGTGCTTTCATTCATCTTTTCTCAGCTTGGATGCAGTGCTGGCCTCGAGCAATCTATAACATTAATCTATGCTCCTGTCTTATCTTGGTTTAATACTCTTATTCTGCTGCTTATTATTTTATATATTTTGCAGTTATTATTTTATATATTCTGCTGTTATATTTTGCAGTCCCCCAAAAACATTCTTACAAGTTACTAAGAAGTCTGTGTATTAGTTGGATAGCTAACCTTATTTATCGATGAGGTATCTGAAGAGTTAATAACCTTCCAACACGACTTAGCAAATAAGTACTTCCAAGTCATTTGAATTCCAAAGCCACTGTTTTCCTTTCCTTAACAGTTACTGATTGGCCTCAGCGTGTTGGGCATCAGGCTGGGCACTGGGGAAACAGTGCCATGACCTGGCTTTTGATTTGAGGGGCAGGGCAGACACGAGGCTTTCAGGAGACTTCTCTGGATCCCACGTGGACACCTGCTCAGGTGTGAACTTGTAGAGGGTCAGGTTACCTGCACCACGCCTCGCTGGCCCAGCCAGCAATGATTACTCACTGCCTCCTGAGGGAGCAAGCATCCATCAGGATGGTGTCAGAGATGCCCTTTCCATCTGCCCTTCCCTGGGACACCTCTCACCTGGAGTGGTACAAAACTTCCCACTGTTCCTTCTACCTCACCTTCCGGAACCAACTCCCAGAGTAATCATTGCCCCAGAGGGCCCCGTTTACAGTTGCACCTCTGCCTGGATGAAGCAGCTGTGGATTCCCTGTCTGCTGTGGTGCTTCAGATCCTATCCAGATGGCCTCGCTCTCTCTTCCTCCTACCCTCACCTGCTGCCTTTCTCCTGAAGCCTCCCTCCTCCAGCAAGTTTGCTCTTGCCTCTCCCTGAGCACATCAGCACTTTAACAGCAAGCGCATTCCCTGCCTGCACCAGCACTGCCCACCTCTCATCCCCCAAATGATGCATTCTCTTCTCAGTAGAAGAATAATTTATTCTTCTCAGTAGAGAGGAACATGGGCTGAATTTTCTAGGGCAATCCCTTTTGCACATAATTTTATTCTTCTCTGAAAAGGTAGTCTATTAGGTGTACAAATATATCTTTGTAAATTCTTTCCTAATAAATCCATAATTAAGAAAAAAAATCCTTTGCTCTATGCCTATCTTGGTTGTTAAATAAGTATTCATTCAGTTTAGTTAAATAAATATCCATCCCCTACTCTGTACTTTCTGACCTGCAACCACATTTTTTTCTTTCTTTTTTTATTTTTTTTGAGACAGGGTCTTGCGACGTAGTACAGGGTGGCCTTAGACCTACTATGTAGCCCAAGTTGGTCTCAAACTCAATGATCTTTCTGTCTCAGACTCCTGAGTGCTGGGATTACATGTGTGCACTACCATGTCAGGCCCGTAGTCATTTATTTCTTTGTGTCCAAATTTTTGAGAGCTCCTGTTTGGTGGAGCTGTCATACTAGCGGGGTTTGAATGATTACATGGCTGGTGAATAGATGGGTAAGGATGGCAGTGGAGGTTTGTGGGAGCCCAGGGAGCTGAGAGGCAGAGGAAACAGGTGAGCCTTACCTGGAGTTCAGATGCAGCATGGTACTCTCTCATCAGCTCCAGTGTATAGAGCTGAGGGACCGGCTTAAAGGGGTTCAAAGCTACCAGAGTGCAGCCAGCATTGGTATAGAACACGTCTGCCATGTACCGGGCCTGTAGGCACCTAAGAACTGAGGCAGAGATGCCTTTAGCAAAGTCTGGTTCCAATACAGACAAAACCACACACAGAGACAAACATCCACCCAACAGCCCCTGCTCTGTAATTAGCCAAGTGCCACTAGATCCCAGCAGTTCCCTGATGAGCAGATACAAGATCTAATTAAGATGAGTCCCAAATCCAGAGCAAAGCCTGCCCTGGGGAGTCAAGGTACAGCTGCCAGGCTCCTTGGGACTGAGGTCTAGAGTATGCATCTGGCCCGAGGTCAGGAGTCTCACCAGGCATGGTCTGCTCTGGGAAAGCCATGCTGGACACCCTGTCGCACTGCCACTCTCTCGGAGACAGCCCTCCAGAGGAGAGGGAGGTCCATACCTGTCTCCAGTGTCACAGGATTCACCTTGGTCAGGTCATCCAGCTGGTGCAGTGGGGTCTCCCTGCCCAGGAACTCCTGCAGGTCTTCTCTGAGGGATGCCCTGCTTTGGCCACCAGAGCCCAAGCTGTGGTCATTCACCTGCAGGGAACAACATGAAAGCCATGGGGACTGAGACTCAACTCAGCTGGCATCTAATGAAGTCGAGGGCCTGTAGAGGAGACAGGGCAGCCCTCTGGGATCGGAATATAGTCAGGTTCTTTCACTTCTACCACTTATTAGCCCTGTGAGCGTGGGTAAATCATCAACTCTCTGTGTGTCAGCCTTCGTTATTTTTTGTAAACAAAGGATCACAAATCTAACTCACAGGGCTACTTAGAAGAAGAAACATATGAAGCATTTAGTCAGGGCCTTGCATACAGTAAGTATTCAATAAACGCTCTGCTGTCTCCTCTGCCAAGAGCTCCAGCTCAGTCAGCTTCCAAACTACCAGTCTTACTGCTAGTAAGTATGGCAAAAGAAAGGAATCAAGAGACAGGCCTTGTTTATTTATTTATTTCCTGGTACCGGGAATCGAACTCATGACCTTGTGCTTGCCAGGCAGGTGCTGTGCTGCTGAGCTAAATCCCCAGCCCTTAGGCCTTGTTTAAAAGAGACAATTCAGCTAGCAGTGCGAAACAGCTGTACCTTCCCAGAGAAGCAGTCCCATGCTTTCATCACCTGACTCTCAGGGCTTTAATTCAGCCAGGCTAACGAACAGGTTCTGCTGCCTCAGGTCTACAGAGTGGCTGTCTGGTTCAGAAGACTGTAAGAGGTCAAGAACAAGAACTAAGGTGAACAAACTCCTCCTTCATTTTTTGTGGGGAGGACTGAAGCCAGAGCCTTCACCCTAAGCTATATCCCAGTGTTTTAGTTAGCGTTCTTCTTCCTGAGACAAAATATTCAATACTGAAGGCTGAAGAAAGGTTTATTTGGCTCACAGTTTGTAGAGGTTTCAGTTCATAGTTGGCTGGCTGCAAGATAGGGTGGCAGATCGCAGAGAGGGCTCACAGAGGAGAAAAAGTCCATGGCAGATAGAAGGCAGCAAAGCAGCTAAGTAGCACAGAAGCAGCAAGCAACAAGCTGCGACAATAGCAGCTCTCTTGCAGTCTTTTATATTTTATCTGAAACCCAGGGCGGGAGATCCTTAATCCCAGCATGGCGCCATAAATCACTCCCAGCATCACGCACTCTAGATCCAGCCACCTCTGAAAAGCCCCACTGTGACTGTAAGAGGCTTTGTCGGGCCATCTAGACACAAGCCATAACACCCTGGTGCTTTTTATTTATTCTGAAGCAGGGTCTCACCAAGTCACTGAATTGCCTGGGTAGGACTTGAACTTGCAATTCGCTTCCCTCATCTTCCCAGGGGGCTAGGATTACAGATGTGTGCCGTTACATTCAGCTCAAAACCTGCTTTTGAAGTATGAAGGCTGTGATATGACACGTATGTTTCTAAGGAGCACTCAAACTTTAAATTCCTCAGAGAAACATACTAAAGAGGCAAATTTCATCTGAGGAGGCTCAGTGATGAGTTTCTTCCAAAAATATCGCCTGTTCTCTGAACTTTGGACCTACTATCATACACACCGTAGGCTCTTGCCCTGTAGGGTAACTGCCACAGTCAGCACAGTGAACCCCTCTGTTCTAGTGAAAAGAAAAAACCCACTAATCCAACTACAATTCATGATCAGCTCTGATCTAACCAGAGGCAGCTGAATATAATGGCCAAGAGCCTGGATTTGAAAGCTAAATCGTCTGGGTTCGAACCCTGATACCACCACTTACTAGTTGTATAATCTTACGTAAGTTTTAAAAACTATTTGTGCCTTAAATTTTTCTCCTCTGCGAAATGGGAATGGTGATTATACCGACCTCACAGATAATAACAAGCACATGAAAGGTTTAGAAACCAGGTGTGGTACACTAATCATAGCACGCTGGGAAGCTGAGGTAGAAGAATTACAAGTCTGAGCCCAGTCTGGGTAACTCAGTGAGCCCCTGCCTCACAACAATATACAGTAAAAAGGGCTGGAGGTACAGCTCAGTGCTAAGGCCCTGGGTTCAATCCCAGCTATACACACACACACACACACACACACACACACACACACACACACCTGGGGGTTTAGAAAGGCATCTGGAATGTGACAAAAGAAGTTAGCTATTATTCTTCTACCAGTAGAAGCGGCTCCTCTTATTAGTCAACATTATAGCCAGGGCTTTAAAACTGTGCATGTCTAACAGGCAAGCCTGCAATTCTGCTTCTCAAAGATGATTTATGCAAAGCAATGTCTGCATATAAAACCATTTATAATTGGAAAAGAATGGAAAACTCCAGGCGTGGTAGTACACGTCTGTAATCCCAGCACCTGGGAGGCTGAGGCAGGAGGATTACCATGAGTTTGAGGCCAGCCTGGACTACACAGTGAGTTCAAGGTCAGCCTGAACTACAAAGCGAGACCCTGTCTTAAAAAAAAAAGAATCGAAAGCTACAGTGTCCAAATAGTAGACTGCTTAAATCAGGGTACATCTATACAATGGATATAGGTTACAAAAAAAGTATAACTTATGTTCTTAAAATATATATTGAAGGGAAAAAAGTTAGGACATTCTCTAAAATTTTGTTTATTTCTGGGTAGTATGATTATGAATAATTTTAATACTGCTTTTGCTTATCTTTATTTTCCAAATTTCTGATAATAAATATGACCTTGAATAAGTCATTTAGCTTCTCTGATCGTTTCATCCCTCTAGGATGGGGACATATGACATAGACATAGCACTGTCTAGTGTATAACACTGTACATTCCTCGTGGGAATGCTGTGTGGATTAAACAAAACTACATATGAGCCTACTACACAACAAGGGCTCAACACAGGGGAGTTGATAGCATGGTTATGGTAAACATGACTATTTTTAGGAAGAAAAATGTTTAAAAATAAATACAAAAGTCTGTTTTTCTCCAGCCTTTCAGCCTGTTTCCTGAACCCAATGGTAGGAAGGTCAAGCAGCAGTATCTACCATGAGTCCTTTCATGCTGGCCAGCCCCACACCTGGCTGTCCTGCTGACCCAGGACTCCACTACACTGTAAAATATGTGCCTCAGCCCAGTGCCAGGCAATACTTAGGAGGATTTGGAGCCCTACAGGCTGGGGGATGACAGCAGTCTTTTCAGAGAGGCAGAAGCCTGGAGTAAAGGCAGGTTTCATGCACCCTGTGATCCATTCATCAGAACCCTTCTGTAATTTACATATGTCATCTTCTCCTACACTTTTGCAGAGGCTGATCTCTTTACCTTAACTGCTTCTTCTTCTTTTTTTTTTTTCCGGTACCGGGAATCGAACTCACGACCTTGCGCTTGCCAGGCAGGCGCTGTGCCACTGAGCTAAATCCCCAGCAGCTGCTTATTATTCTTTTCCACTTGACTAACTCCTTCTTATTCTTTAAGGCTCAGCTTCAAAGAACAATCTGGGATATCCTCAGCTTCCACTGTGCCTCAACAATAGGCTGCTAGAGACATTGCTCAAGACTCCCTCTCTGTAAAGTCAACAAAGTGAACTAAGGATTCCTTTGCCTATCCCATCTTATCCCTCCCAAGGAAAAGCACTAAAAACCACAACAGGAGAGATTCAAATTAGATCTCAAGAGCACTGAGGTGATTACCTCAAGGGAGAACAGAAGAAAGACCTTTAAGGGGTCTTTCCTGTCCCCTCAAGTAAGAGCAGCAGAAACTTCACTCAGGCACGTGAAAGATGGGAAGGTGCTTCAAGTGCTTGAGGGCCTGGGTTATATAATGTTGACATCTCACCTGATGGAGCATCCTGCTTCAGTGTGATCAGCCAGGGTTCTGGGTCCCAGGCCCAAGGAGTGCTATCCACTTGGTCATAGGGCCATTGGTATAGCTCCAGCGAAGTGCTCAGGTCTGGAGTCTCAGACGAGTCATCCTAGAGCCTGTGGAAGGAGACAGAAGACAAGGGCCACACACAGGTGAGGACTTCTCCAGGGTGACTCATTGCTACTCCTCCCACTGAGCAGAACCAAAATAAGAACTAGGACAGGCTTGGGCGAAGAGTGAGAGTCTGTCCTTTTCCCCGATAATTATGGAACAGGGGAAACTTTGATGAGAGCCTCCAGAGATCCCCTGGGCTACTTTTTGAAGTTTTCTTTGCAGTAAAAGCTCTGGGCAGGGTGTGGTGGGCATGCCTGTAATCCCAGCACTTGAAAGACTGAGGCAGGAAGATCACCAAGAGTTCAAGGCTAGCCTGGTTTTCACAGTGAGATCTTGTCTCAAAAATCAAACCAGGGGCGGGGGATATAGCTCAGCGGCACAAGCACCTGTCTGGCAAGTGCAAGGTCCTGAGTTCAATTCCTGGTACCAAAAAAAAAAAAAAAAAAAAAAAAAAAAAAAAAAAAAAAAAAAAAAAAAGCAAACAAACCAACAACGAAAAAACAAATCCAAACAAACAAAAAACCTCAGGGCCAGTTTTAATTTTAGGGTTAGATGGGGCTGCAAATCTTCTGGGTCAGTATGCCGTGGAGGTTAAAGACAGGAGACTGAGAGCCTCACATCCTACCTTTTCCACTGGATGGAAATGTCCTATTTCAGTACAGTTAGCTGGATACAGAGAAGAGGCTGGAGTCAGCTCCTCATACAACAGAAAAGCTGTATGAGAGAGAAATCATAGTTCAGCCACTTACTGGGTGTGTGACCTTGGGTAAGCCGTATCACCTACCTCCAACTCACCTTGAAAATGGGGATCATTAAACATAATTCACAAAGCGATTGTGAAGGTCAGGAAGGTCATGGTTTGAAAGCACCATACACAGTGCAAATCTGAATATTCCCTCAGGACGAAATGCATTAGCACTACAACTAAGGGTTGCTATTCCATGTGGGGATCTAATCAGGTGGATGGATCTAGTGTCAACTTCAAGGAGGTGAGATGAGGGGGTCCATCGGAGATGGAGGGTGTTTGTTGTTGGGTGAGCTGATCCAAGTCTTTGAAGGATGCTGACCTTCAGACTTGGGAGATCCCAGGCCTCAACACCTTCCAGCAGCAAGGAGGGATGAGAATGAGGCACACCTGTAACCCTAACACAGCCTTTTTAACGCTCTGAATACACCTAGGCTTTTAAAGAAGCTAAGGATAGGGACTTCCATGGAAACTAGGAAAAGGACAACTTATACAGAAAAAGGTATCAGGACCGTATTAAACACCTTCACTCTGGACACTGACACTACCCTATCCAAGAGACAGTCATGCAGAGGTCCAGGGAGACTCAACCAGAACAAATCTCCCTCAACTGGTGGTTTATCTAGGTAAGTCCATTGGGGCAGCACAAGATGAGGGGGTTAGAACTCAAAGCTCACACCCCTTTACAGATCACAAGAGCTCTCCAACCCTTATTACTTTTCTTCATTTGCAAATGGAATAATAAAAAACATCCAGACCTCACGGGGGCTAAGTTGTCTCAAACTTGCAAAATTGGTTTTTACCATGCAGTATCAGCTCCAAGCTGGAATCAAGTCAGCGCAGAGCGGTTTTCTCTAGTTCGCCCAGTTCCCGCTCCGTGTTCGCGGTTACCAAGACTTTGTGAAAAAGGGTGTGACTGAAGTGGGCAGAAGGGAGTAATGAATAGGTGCAACTCTTGAGTCTAGGCAGGTGGCAACCTGATCACCACCTCCTCCTCCCGGCTTCAGTTTCTTTCAAGGCTTGCGGGGCAGACGCAGGAGAGACCTGGGTAGGGGTCCTGGGAGCGCAGCCGGCCCCGCCCTAGGTTCCTGGCGGGAATCGCGACTCCTGGTCCGGGCGGCCTGCCCGCGGTGCCTGGGGCAGGATGCCGCTCCAGAAGCACCTGGCACGGGGACAGTATGTCTGTCCTCTAGGCAGGGTGGACACGACCCAAGCGCAAGGCTTCCCGGATGCCTCGCAGGACCAGCATCCTCCTCCCCGGTCACTGGCTAGGGCCCGGAAAGGAGCAGGCGCTCAGGTCCAGTCTGCCAGCCGAGACCCCTCCCATCCTGGGCTGCTCTCTGCTGGCAAGGTGGAAAGGTGAAGGACGACCGTGAAAGGTCCTTGTTCTTGGGGAGAGCAGGGCAACTTTCACTTGGGACAAGGGCGGGGCGAAACGGAAATGGAAGAAGGAAAGGGCTAGGGCGATTTAGGGAGGAAAAGGGAGGTGCCCCTTTCTACCTTAAAGCTGCGGGGCCAACGGGCTTTCCCGCCCCTTAGGGGCCGTGAGGGGCTTCGGATTTGGGCTGGGGTGGCACTCACCCGTCCCACGCCCCGAGCTGCCGAGCGTGCAGACCCCGCCGACTGAACGGCGGGCTAGCCGCGCGAGGCAGGGTGAAGACTCGGTGGAGGGAAGAGAGGCGGGGGCGAGCCGGGCGGAGCGAGAGCCGGGACCGGGTCGAACCCGTCCGGCGGCAGCTCGGGCTAAGCGGCGGGGCCGGCCGGCTCCTCCCCG